TCAGCCCTGTTGCTTTGGCCACCTTCTTCTCTGCCATCAGAGAAGGCTCCCAGCACTGAGGACCAGCCACTCTCCAGAGCCCTCCAGGGTTTGGCACCAGATTAGAACTGCTGAGGCACCCAGTAGCTACCAGGCTCTGCACCTCTGGGTGTCATGCAGCTGCTGTTGCTGTTTGCAAGTGAGCTGATTTAATGTGTGTGTGTCAGCGAGAGAGAGAGAGAGAGATTATATAAAACTCCCTACCTGTTCTGTCCCTCTGGAGATCCCTCCCACACCACCCATAATAAAAAGAAGGAACTTCCCTAATTTCCTGAGAGTCTCTGCTATCACTGTGCCTGCCATCCTCAAACGTAATGGGGGCTGAATTCATTCTGTAAGGTCAACACCAAGGCCATCTTCACAATTCCTCAGTGTTGTGCTGGGTGGGGCTTAGCAGCAGAACGAAATGAGAAGAAATTACACGGTGTTCACAGGTGACAGATGGTCAGTGTGTGAAACCCCACAGACTCCATGGGAGAAGGTCTCCTGGCGCTATTACATTTGTAAAGGACAAGGCACAAGGTCTCTGCACTGAATCAATGTGCTTCTTTCTATACTTTGGGCACAAGTAGTTAGATATTAAAATTTGAAAGTGGTACTTTACAATTGGATTAGAAAATGTGTAGCTAGCTTAATGGTGGTGGTAATGGTGCGGGAATCTATGCTGACAACTGTAAAATACCAGAGAAGAAAACCAAAATAGATGGGAGACAAACAGAGCTCCCAGGTTGGAAGGCTCAGTGTATCCGGATGTCAGCTTCAGCCAAGTTAATTTCATGTTCAGATGTTATGAGTCTTTTTGAAAATTTAAGTTTGACCTTCCAGTAGGCCTGAAGCATAGATACTGCCTAACTCTAAAACTGCATGTTTTTTGTTTTGTTTTTTCCTTTCTATATAGTGTCTTTTCTAACTTTTGAGACAAGGTCTCCCCATGTAGCCCTGGATGGCCTGAAACTCACTATGTAGACCAGGCTAGACTTGAACTCTTAGAGGTCTGCCGGTCTCTGTCTTAGCCATGAACTTCTCGGTAGCTGTAATTTGCAACTCTGAGACTTAATAACAGAATGAGAACATCTTTCATTTCCTTCCGGTTTCCTTCCATTGAGAGTCACCTTTCCTGTGAGGACAGCACTGTGTAGCTTCTAGGAGGTATGTACAAATGTCTCAGCCATCACTACTCTGCTACTCTGGAGCCATTACTATTAGGTAAAAGTGTTACTTGGATATCAGCAATGTTGTCATTGCTTGGGGTCCCTGTGGTAACCAAGAGCTCCTCAGTGACTGTCGAGCGAGTAGCACATGCAGTGTGGATACACTGGGCAAGGGGCCGACGCTCGGGCAGCAGGGTGGAGCTGAGCAGCGGGAGGCACTCTCACTACACAAGCATGCAACTTGAAGCTTATGAAATGTTAATTTCTACAATTTCCTATTTAATATTTTTGGACCATGGTTGACCAAGGGTAACAGAAATGAAAAGCAAAACTAAATAAGGAGGGGATGTTATATAGTTAGGTGGGTTTTGTTTTTGTTGTTTTTCAGACAGGCTCTCTTTTGTAGTCTTGGCTATCGTTGAACTCAAGAAATTGGCCTGCCTCTGCCTCCCCAGATTAAAGGCGTGCGCCACCATAGCTAGTTGATTCTTTGACAAAGGTTGAGAAAAGATTGTCCTTTCAAGAAATGGTGCTATAGCTGTTGAACCTCTGTGAACCCCTGTCCCTCATTACTAATACACACTTCAACTTGTGTGTTGAATCATGGACCTAAATCTAAAACTTTTCTAAGAAAATAGGAGACATATCTTTGTGATCTAGAGTCAGGCAAAGACATCTTAGACATAACACTGGACTTAGCCA